TGGGTAAAATAACTGAGGCTGCGGATGCGAATGCGGATGTTCCGTCTAGCTGGCGCTGAATTTATGGCGCAAAGAGCGCAGAAAAAGTTGCGGCAAGGCGGAAATTGCGGCTAGTTGCAAAGTCAAGAGACTACTTTCAGCTTTTGCTGGAGATATAATTCCCCGACCTTCCATGATAAAACGTTTTCCATAGCAATCCCCTGGGCCGCTTATCGCGTTTTGATTTTTAATTATAGCAAAAGTATTTCACAAACTGGAATTTCGTTTCGTTTATTTGCAATTAAATTAGGCAAACAACATGAAAACACTCTCGAATCCAATTATCTCTTCGAGAGCCGAGATACAAATTACAAATGTGAATAAAGTCATTTCGAATACTTGCGCACATATACAAGTTGTATACAAATTTGAACTTTTGACAACTTTTTGTTTTCAGTCCAAAAGTTCGGCAAGAATTTTTGGGGAAGAAACGGCAAAGTTGGAGATGTTTTTCCTGTCATGTAATAAGGCGGCATTATTGTGTACATAGAATCTTTGAGTGCGTTTGAGGATGGTCCTGGCCTGACTTCTTTCAATGCTTAAAAAAGCAGTAAGTATAAGTCGGAAATGTTAAAGCCGGACGTCGGCTGACGGTGGACGAATAAATGGATATTTGTATATTTGTCACCCTCTTTTACTTGAAAATTCCACCGCAGCGTGACGGGCTCTTAACTCGTTCGCAATCACAATGGCAAAATAAAACAAAGCGTCTGTGCAACAGTGCGTATGATTTACAATGTTTACCACGGAGTGGGCCGAAGTGAAGTTAAGTAAAGTCACTACTGCTGCGGACAACTTGATGACGTTATTTGTTGAGCAAACTAAGGAACTCGCACTCTAAAATCCCTTCTGGCCTGCCCTCTGTTTACTTATGTGACTCGACGTCCCGGCCTTTGCCTGGGGGAAATTATATGCTGAAAATGTAGTCGAAATTCGCATAATAAATGAATAGCACCAACAAGCCGGCGAACGCCAACGCTATGCTTTGATGGAATGTGGGAATAACTCAATTTCCACGAATACAATTAATTCAACTAGTGAGCCGAGGATTATGGGCGGAGCGGCAGCCGAGTCTAATTACTTTGGTAATGATCTGCATCACTATGGACGGCAGTCCATGTAGTGACGAAGCGCACCAGGAGAGTGTGCGAAGGCGACTACTATATATACACGAAGAAATGAAAATCTACTGTGATGGTCCGATCATAATGAATAATACACCTATCGAAAGGTATTGCGAAAACTAACAGGATTGCATACCAAGACTTTAAGAAAATCAATTGGCTTGGGAGAAAGAGCGGTGAAAGTGAAAAAGTGAAAATTTCGAAATTTGGAGCTGTTGGGGCCGGTGGGGACAAATGCCCCCTCGCAATGTTTTAGTTGTATTCCTTTTGAAAATACCCGTCGAATGAGGGGTCATTTGTCAAAATCCGACTCTCCGTTCAAAAGTTATAGCCAAAATAAGATTTTCTTCTTCTTCCCAAAATGAAAATTTAATTCTGTTTGTCCACTTGTCCACTTGTCCACTTGTCCAAAATATGTTTTTTAAGTTCTGAAAATTTGATATGACGTTCATCACATCGATATAAAAAACTTTTGTTCTACCACTTTTGAAAAAACCCGCTAGTTTAGCGGGAAAACAGCTATAAGTAGCTAAAATTCGGAAAGCCGTAACTTCTATACTACTAAAGCTACAGGCTTGTGCTGCATCTCGTTTGAAAGGTATTTTTAAATGCTATAAACGCCTTCTATATGCAATTTGTGTAAATGTAATACTTAAAAAAATATGAACAAAAGACAATTTTTTAAAACTTTTTTTTTAGCTTTTTTTATTTTTCTCAAAAACGGCTCTAACGATTTTCTTTAAAACCTTAAACTGTATAGCCCTTGAGATTCCTTAAATTTTGGTATATAACACATTACTGTAAAAAGTCACGTTTAAAAGTTATTTTTATTCGAAAATAGCCACTTTTGCCAGCTCGAACAATTAACGCTCCCTGAGTATTGAATTTTGTGGGAGGGTATCCGAACTGTATTTTAGGGTCATGGAATCAGTAAATTTGCACTTAAGAGTTCCATATAGGAATCTTTTGTTCTACGACTTTTGGAAAAAGCCGCTACTTTAGCGGGAAAAAGCTAAAAATAGCTAAATTTCGTTAGTTTGTAAGTTCTACACTACTAAAGGTACAGACATGTACTATACCTCGTTTAAAAGGTATTTTGAAATACTTCAACGCCTTTTTAACTTAATTTGTTAAAATACAATAGTTTAAAAATTATGATTGACCAATTTAAATTTAAATGTATATATTAGCTCCTATGAGAGCAAATGTATACAAACAGAAACTTCTGATATCAAATAAAAACACCTCTTAACGAGGTAAAAAACTAGTGACGACCGCACCTTCAACATACAAAAGTTCTGATATCAACATTTGTGACGAAAAATTATTACACTCGTCATTAAATAGACTTTCTAATCTTTTCTAATTCGTCACGCTGCAATAGAAAATGCCTGTAAAGGGAAAAAGGCTGGAATAGTTTGCTAGGGCGGGCCGAATGAGAAAAGATTAGAAGGTCTATTTAATGACGAGTGTAATAATTTTTCGTCACAAATGTTGATATCAGAACTTTTGTATGTTGAAGGTGCGGTCGTCACTAGTTTTTTACCTCGTTAAGAGGTGTTTTTATTTGATAATAATTTACTTACACTTGAGGGCATCATATAATTAAAATTTTCCACCAGCTCCGAGTCACTGATTCAATTAATACCCTGCAGAAGGGGCTGTAAGGATAATCTTAGATTGTGTTTGATGTGATTAATGTGTCATTAATAACCTTTTATATAATATTCCAATAAGTGAAAAAGTTGAAAGTTGAAATAGCAAGTAATTTGTTATTCTCTTTGCATCTTAGTTTATTCAAAATTAAATGGAAAACGTAATAAATATTTACTTTTTAAACTCCTTCAAAGGTTTTCATGTTTGGTACATATTCAATTTCTTTTAAAATGTCCGAATAACCCAGTGGCTTCCATAGTTATTAATATCTTAGACAAACTGTTTGCCCTCTGAATACGCATATGGCGCGTGCCGGGTTAATTATTAAGCATAGTTTAAGTGCTGCATGAGCGAATGAAAGGTCTAATAAAGTGTGCCATCTCTCTGATCCGATTGCAGCCTCATCCGCCATGGAAGGACCTCAACTAGAGCCCCCCTGCTCGTCCTCGGAATCCTTCTCAGCGCTGAGTACGTGAACGTCTCCGCGGAGAATGTCCGCTTGCATGACAATTGTAGCGTGCCGGCATTCAGAAAACGCAGCAGCAGCAGACGACGCGGCTGAGCGAGCAGTACGTGAAGTGATTCTCAACAAGCAGCGGCAGTAGGGCGCGAAGGAGCAGGGCCAGGAGCAAGGACATCCCACATCCAGCATCCAACGCACATGCACGACAGAAGGGCTTAGCACCTGCACTCGAGCCGCAGACAGCAGAAGAGCCAACGCACGGAATAAGTAAGTGCGAGCTGAATAAAAATACTTTCCTTGGCGGAGGTGGAAGGAAAAAAAGGGTATTTCAGGGGGCAGAGCAGCTGGGATCATCAGTAAGGCTGGTCTTCGGCTTACTCGAGGCGAAAGCTGCAGAGGGATTTGGGAAACAACTAACATTAATTATTATTTTATTTTTTCTTGATTGAGTAAAATTAAAAAACTAAAAATCATTATATTTCATAATCATTATATGCTTTCCATTTTTAAATACCTATCTTGTAGAAACAGCTCAGTGTATTACTTTTATGAAATGGGTTCTGAGTGCAACTGATCCATTAGTTTTTCTTTCATTGAATTTAAGCTACCCCAAAACAAATCCTTCCATAAGCCTTTCATCAAAATCTGCTTATCGGGATGCCCACATCCTTCGTTTGGCTCCTTCGAATTGTTGATCCAATGACCCAATGTCACCAGTCAGGCAATGAAAAGGCTCCAGCTTTGTTCCCTGCGCCTTAACTCCCCATCGCCCCACTTCCTAGTCATTCCACGTAGGCATTCTCCTCGTGTTGTCAGGAGTCTCGGCTCTGCCTGCCTGCCTGCTAGACTGACATGTCTGGCATATGCAAAATGCCAACTGTCCCTGCCACCCCACCATTCCGATCTCTCCACCCACTCCCATCCCCAAAAACCCCATGGTTCCTTTGTTGTTGTGTCGACTACAACAAGGGCAAGGACACTACACCAAGTGCAAACAAGGTGATGCTTCAGCTGGCAAACATACCAAAAACAAGATGGGGAAAGGGGTAGGGCAAACGAGTGGACGGGTGGATTCTTTGCCCATTTTTCCAATACCCCTTTCTTTTTGGGAAAATGCCTCTAGAAAGACAACAAAAAAAAGGCAGTGAGGACCGAATGAAACGCTTCAAGGCACATACTCGGCGGAATTGCCTTCCAGAGAGCAGAAGAGCCCAAATGAAGAATGCAGAAAAAGGTTTTATAGAATTTGGACTTAAACTTAAGTCAGATAAAGTTTTAAGGATTTAGGGTAAACTATAACAAACATCCCAGAAACTGTGGTTTCATATTATGTTTTTAAACAATATACATATAAGACCGGAAATATTTTTAATAATTTTTTAAATTAATAGATTTAAGTTTGTTAGGGTTTTCTGATATTCATACATCACTTTTTACGTTTTATAAATATTAAATATAAATGCACTAATTACATTTAATTGTACTTGTTTTTCTTTCCAGTTCACTTAAACTGCCATATATTTTGCAAACAAAAAAAACGACAAAAAACGTATCGCTGCTGTAAAGTAAATTAAAAGCGGACATAAAAAGTGTGAGTCCTTGCCGAAACGAGCAAAGCGAAAAGCAGGCCACGCCACAAACAGCTATCTTGTGGTCAATTACACAAGAGGAGCGCGGGGGAAAGAGTATAAAACAGCAGTCTGACATCAAGTTATCGGAAAAACAAGGACAACATTGCGACGTGGCCATTTTGACCAATAATAATAATGGTTATGTTGCTGCACTCGAAGCGACCACTCCCGCCATCAGCAGCAAATCCCACGAGAACGCGGCGGAAAGTGCCGCCCACGAGACGGAGGCGGTCCGGATGGGCGTGGTCGTCTCTGCTGGTTCTGGTGGTCCTGGATATAGTCGTATCCAGATGCACGGCGGCCGGCATTAGTTACAGCAGCAACAGCGGCAACCTGAGCACATCGCAGAAGAGTCCCTCTTCGGTGAATAATGGCGGACTCGTGCTGATCGGCTCCAGCAGCGCCACTTCCAGTTCCGTGCCCTCATTATCCCTCACTTCATCCTCGTCGGCGGGCTCGTCCTCGTCCGCCCCGAGCAGCTCGTCTGCTACGAGTAGCAGCGGATCCAGTGGCAACCGCAGTGGAAGACCCACCGGCAGCAGCAGCAACTCGAACTCGAACTCCAACCCGAATCACGATCAATTACCCGCCCAGCTATCGTCGCGGATTATCCACACACGCAACGGCGCCATATCGGGCGTAATTGTCCAATTAGATGGCAGGCACTTGGATCCGGTCGAGGCGTACCGGGGAATCCCCTACGCCTCGCCGCCGGTCGGCAATTTGCGGTTCATGCCGCCCGTCTCGGCGGCCATGTGGTCAGGTGTCAAGAAGGCGGACAGGTGAGTCGGCTCTATAAATTTAAAGGCGGGCATTAGGCGCCACTAAACCGGGATTAGCCTAAATTATTTCCTTTCGCATAAAAAATAATTTGAAAAAATGTATTACTACAATGTGTTTCGGAAGTCAATCTGAAAATAATATTATTACACAGAAAAAAAAGGGATTTTATATTAAATTTAAGGTTTCCATTGAATATTTTTATATTTAATTTTAATAAAAACGGCAATAGATGAACAACATAGCGCATAATATTTAAATTGAATCAGACATTTAATGAAATAACAAGAGAGAACGCTATAGTCGGGTTGTTGTCCCGACTATCTAATACCCGTCACTCAGCTAAAAGAAGTGCGAACGCGGGTTGGTGTCTCGACTAATAATCGTAACTCAGCTAAAGGGAGTGCGAGGGAGATAGATATATAATTTTTGATTGCGTATAACTTTTTAATGAATGGTCCGATTTGAAAAATGTCTTCTACATTTCGATAGGTATAAATATACACAACAAAATTGCATTTATACTTGTCGGAAATCTTTAAAGATGTGGGCGCAGGACCCATTTTAAAATCGTTAGTGGGCGATTGTGGGCGTTAGAGGGGGCGTGTCGCTCGGCTAAAATAAACTTGCGCTGCGTAGGAAGCCAAATAATATGTGTGGGAAATCTCAACCTTCTAGCTTTTGTAGTTTCTGAGATCTCAGCGTTCATACAGACGGACAGACAGACAGACGGACAGACGGACAGACGGACATGGCTAGATCGACTCGGCTAGTGACCCTGATCAAGAATATATATACTTTATGGGGTCGGAAACGCTTCCTTCTAGCTGTTACATACTTTTGCACGAATCTAGTATACCCTTTTACTCTACGAGTAACGGGTATAAAAATAAATATTTCCCAAATTTTATGCAGCTGAAAATCTTAGTTGTCCCAAGAATATAGAAATTATATATAAAATCAAAATATTTCTCAAGTCGTTGTATATTAACTGACAACTAACAAAACATTGTTACAACCCAACGAATTTGTCCTTCCAATCCCTTCAGGATGCGCCCTACACGAACCCTCGTCTGAGTAATTTAATAAATTTCCAAAGAAGTCCCCGACTTTCACCTTCCGACAGAATGCTTTGTCCATCTAAAAGCATTAAATCATTTCTCAAAAGGGTTGATTTTGATTTGCCTTTCGAGTGCATAAAATGATCAAAATGCTATGAGTCAAGAGCCAAAGCACCGAGTCTCTCGAGAGTGCCCAACAATTGTCACCTCAATTAACTGGCTCATTATTGAGTCAAGTGCGCAGGCGGCGGTCCGAAAATGTTGAGAGCCGCGAGTAACTGAAAATAATGAAAATAATGGAAAATGCTACAACCCTTGCCCGAACCGGGCCAGCGACAACAATGGGCATAATGAAAATGGCTTCTGAAAATAACGGATGAAAAAATGGGGAAATACAAGTCAAAGGTCAACTTAGTCGGCGGGCTTCCGCTCGGAATATCTCGCAAATTAAATATTTACGCTGTCGCCGGCAGCAAACTGCGCTACGGGACAAACAGCAGCTACACAGCTACACAGCAGCATCTAATTTACAAATGCTCCCAAGTGGCAAATCATTATTCACAAAGATGCCCAGAGATATTCCAGGTTCCCTTGTTTACCATTGTTATAAAAAAGGGAAGCGAAATGGGGCCGCGTCGCGACGCAGCAAAAGTTTTTCCTTTCCCCTTTACCCGAAATCAGAATGAGAAAGAGATTCAGACCCATAATGCCGATGGAAAAGGGCCGCGAAATCAGTACAGCGCACAGCGGAGCCCGGCGAATAAAATATAATTTTTCAAGTTTAACAAAGAACACCACCTGCGGCCTCGCAGCAGACTGATGATTCTCGCATTCTCGCATTTCCCCGCCAATTTTTGGGTAATTCAAGCCTGCGGATGGACGGTTTTCGTCTTCTGCCGCATCATCTTCACTCTTCCTTCCGGAGAGCTGGGCGGTCGGCTTTATTTGTCAGGCCGTCTTGTTGACAGCGGGGGTCAGTCGCCAAAGGAGCCAATAAAACGGCTTGAGTAATGGTCGGGAGATTTTTCAGCACGTCAGCGTAATAAAGTTGTCCATGGACAGTTGGCACAATAGGTCATTAGCCTGATTTTCCACGTGAAATGGATACCTGTCAGGCTGTGGAGGGTAAAATGTTTAGATTGTTTTGTGGTTTGGCTAAAAGTTAGGCTTTGGTTTCGGTGGCTTGCGATTGGCCTAACTCTTTTTGGGATCTCGTAAATAAAGCCATAGTTCTAACATAGTTATAACATTTATCGTTAGTTTTGGGTAATTTTCTGTATTTTGGTGATTCTACACCCAAAAAAAACTTGATGGATTTGATGCTATGTTGTATCAATTTTGACTTGATATGCGGCATATCAATTCGAAATTCTCGAAATATAAACATGTTATAGGTTCGAATTTCGAATGTGTCTTTCTCCCTCCCACTCATGTAACTTTAAGCGCTATCCCGCTCTATTTCGTATTGAGAGAATAGTTGTTAGTTACCAGAAATTTACCATGCGCATATTGATTTGATCCCGGCGGGGTTTTTTTCTGTGTGTAGCATTAGAAGTTGCATCTATTCTAACTGTGGTCGGCCCTTTTCACCTGTCACATTCCGCCCTTTGAACTAAACTTTACCCTGAATTTCCACTACAACAAAAACCGAACTTTGCGGGGGCAACATACTTTTCCACCACAAGTTACCCCTCAACTTTCATCGGCCACATTGCAAAAATAATTTCTCACAACCACAAAAAATGGACGCAATGGAGGCAGGCAGGAAAAAAGAAGAGCAAATTATGTCCACACATATTCCTAGCCCGCCAAAGGCAACAGCTGTTCATGGCTTTGACAAGCCACGCGTGTCACCACCAATTCACCCTGCCTCCCAATTCCACTTCCACTTTTCCAGCCCCATCCACGCATTTCCACCCCGGCGTCTTTAATAAAAATGAAATAAATTCCGCCAGCCACTTTGCACTTTGGTGCTGTTGTTCCAACGGCTGCACATTGGTCCTGGCCTTTACGTTGCCTGTGGCGTAAGGATTATGAAAAACAAGCGGATTAGTGGCCAACCTCTCCTGACCAGGTTCCTGGTGCACGGGTGCCTGGGTCCCCGGTTCAGGCTCATAAACGAAGTGTAAAAATCGCAATAAACTGACGAGTTTTATGCATGACGCCAAAGTTTTTAATAAAGACGAAAGTAAAAGCTCGACGCAAAAACGCTAAGTGGGGAAACTCAAGTTAACGATTTTCCTAATAAAAAAGCGCATTAATGAGTGGTGGGCAGGAGGGGAATATAGGGTGTGTATACCTATAGGTAGCGAAAGGGCCTTCGGAATGTGCGTGCAGCAGTTTGAGAGGCATCTCTTTCGCCCCGGCAAACAGAAGCTGGCTCCGTCATTAAAAACGTTAATTCCAATTTGAGGCTCAAGAGCAAGTGGTAACCGCAAGGCGGCGGTGGGTTAAGGGAGGGTTAGGGGTAGGTTAAGGGAGGAGGAGGAGTAGGAGGGGCCATCTCGAGGACATCAGCCGCATAAATTGCCGACTGACTCGGCGGCGGCGCTACAAACTGTTGCCCGTTTTAAATGAAATTGCGAAAATTCATTTTAAATTGGATTTTATTTAATTTGACTGCGGCAAGAAAGCTTTACGCCCGAAGGAGATTTTCCGAGGAAGGTGTGAGTGCCGGTCCCTGTGAATCCTGTGTATGTGTGTGTCTGTGTCGCCTGCCAATCTAATTTTTGTGAACGGTTGGAGGGATGGAAAAATCAGGATGAGGACGACAACCTTCTGGCCCGTTGGCCACAGGTAAAATTAATCTATTTTACTTGACGTGGCCGCAATGTCGCGTATAATTTTATGCGATCTGGTGCCCTTCGTTCATCACCCACCTTCCTCTGTTGAAGTCTGCACAGAGAAAAAGAAGAGCAATGTTGGGGAAAATAAAAAATAAAATAATAAACCTTTTATTTAAAGTATATTTATGGTGTAATTTAATATTCCTCTAAAATTTTACGAATGTTTCTTTGATTTAAAAAATCTAATAATGCCTTAACCTGCATTAAATATATAAATTTTCCATACTTTTTATATGAAATACCTTTAATAACTATGAAACTGATAGTCTCTGGAAATAATATAAATTATAAAAAATCATTGGCTTATATTCTTTTCTTCTGTAAATTCCTTATGAAACTAAATATACTAAAATATTATTGGAAAATATTGAAAAGTATTTTTTCTCTGTGTATATGCGTGTATTTTTCTGCTTGGCTAAGATTATGCTTTTGTTTGATGTATTTAAGCCGAAAGCGCCAGCGGATCTCTGGCCGGGCTGCTGTCCTGGCTACCATTTATTTACCACAAAGCGCTCGTCCTTCTCCTGCTCCGTAAAAGAGCCTCATGAAATCCCCAGAACCGTGACCCTTGAAGCTTTGACTGCTCTTGAGTCTCTCCCCCCTGCATGCAGATTAGCCCGGCCTTCCACTCAAATGTACACAAAACTCGAGCATTTTGGGCCAGCTTTGCTTTATGTTTTGTTTGGGAATTCCAAATTGCATGTATTCCGGAATACGAGAGGAGCTGGAGTAGCAGCGACGGCTATAACCTTGTTTACTTTTGACCGCGTGCCCAGGCTGCCGAGCAGTTTCCCACTGGTCAGGGTCACCATCTTCAAATTGTTTGCTCGAATTTCGCAGATATCTGTTTGTGGCAAATAATCTGCGCTGAAAGCAGGCGATGTTTGAGAAGCAATCCGATATTAGTTATTAGTCAGGGCGGAAATATGTTGAGAATGTTTAGACAAGGAAACATAAATGTCTCGAACTTGAGGACATTCCAGAATGTAGAGGAAATGCTTTAAGGTACTTATATTCAGACTGCCAGACTGAATCAAAACCAAGTAATTTATTTTTTATGTTAGCTTATGGACATCCTCTATAATTTTTGAACAA